TTCAACTATCGTTTTCTCCCAGAGAATAATCAGAGTTCAATGTAGCGTTCAGCTTCCGTCACACGCCTTAATCAGTTTCTTCAACGAGACGTCTATGTGTATAGCGAAAAATCCGATCGCGTCTCGCGGCCGTGCGCGTGGGACTTTTCATCGCACCGAATAAATAAGCTGCTGCGAAATGTCGCAGGCGCGACGCTTTCTAACGACACGCTGCCACGCGTAATCCTCGTCGCGCGAGCTTCGACTCGACCCACATTTCGCGCGCTTTTCTTCGAGATTGCGAGTCGCTTCCCGCGCGAGTGCGCATTTACAGGCGGTTAACTGTCTGCAAACGCGGAAATCAAGGCACGCCGCCGGCTCCCATCCTCTCCTCCCAGCGCGCATCGCGATCAGCTGGCTATCCCACTTTTTTCCCTTGGCGACGCTCGCGTCGTGCAACATTGGTCGGCAATGAATTCTTCTCCGGCGAAATACGTGGTTTTTCCTCGGCGCGTTACGAGCCCGTTGTTCGCCCACCGCCCGCCTGTCCAAGATTGTAAATCCCCTCAAACGTATATCTTCTATCCTCCAAGTTTCTTCCCGAGGATTTTAGCTTTCAGGAAGCTTTCGAGTTTGTGTAGCCAGCAATACTACGTATCTTTGCAATAACGGCTCAAAATGGAAACTGTAAATGTCATTATAAACAAGTACGAGCGGGCCGTTGTCAAGTGCTGCCGAATAAGTATCGATTAAACAAACTCTGCAAGCCAAGCAGAGGCGAAAAAATATGTTGCTGTACCGTACAGCTATTGCGTAAACGCTCGCACGTTCGCGGCATAAGATGCGAGCTAACCTTTGTGTCTGCGCTTCATATGTTTCTACTGTGTTTTTCTCTCCGGGATGACTTGTAAATAGAGCAATGACGTCCGCACCCCTGACGCTTCTCTTATTTTCCTGTGTACTCTCGACTGTTATCAGTACCACGTTCGGCCAATTGAGTTATTACATCAAATTGTTGCGGCGAATAGCTGCATCATTGTCGGGGCAAACTCGTTACGACGGTAAATTGCATACGAAGCATGCCAATTCCCAGTTCAATATTCTTAGACCATATCATTCTATTCATGAAATCAATGAAGACATAGCCGGCTGTCTCGATGCGAACGCTGTTAGGTCGAAGGAAATCTATCTTACCGATGCATCCTATCGAACCCATAATTTCAAAACTGCCGTCCCAGTCAATGAAATTTCGAGAGAGAAATGAACAAATAAAACATTTCAGGCGCTCCCGCGGACTTTGCTTTTTCTTCCGGGAACTTTTTTATTTTTACGTAGATGCGTTGAAAACACCCACTAGTCGCGTGGCGCGCGCACCGCGCTAACGGGCAGAGAAAAGTGTCTGCGCCAGCGTGTGCGTGTGTTGGTTGGGAGGCGCTGCAATTACGGTTCGTTAGAGCGACTAGGCTTAGCCCGTTATCGAGTTATTCGATCGCGCTCTCGACACCAATAAAAGCAGTGCGTTTGCTGTCGACAAAATTATTCGCGTTTTGCCATTGTCGAGCCAATGGATCATCCAAGATATTTTTGATTTCGCCGATTCGTGGATATCCCGGGTCTATTTGCATGCCGAGGAGGAACTGCAGACGCCAGGTATGCAAACTATGAAACGACGGCGTCCAACAGTAACCGCAAAATTACGATCGTGAAACTGCGGCGCGATATTCCAGCAAGGATCCCGAGCTAAGATTCGAATAATGACACGCCTCCATGGTGCAGCTTGGAGCTCAAAAAACGCTACTACACGAGAGCTTTTGGATAAAAAGCGCGCAAACTCCCGTAGCTAGGCGTGTGCGCGCTCTATAGCGTATAATGCATTCGCGGATTGGTAGATATGTAACGTGTGTTCTCTGCGAGCGGTGCTTAACGGGAAATCTGACGGTGCGATAAGAATCGTTATAAAAGCGCACGCCAGCCAGCCGCTCTCTCTCTCTCTCTCTCTCTCTCTCTCTCCCGTAGGAAGTCTTTGTACTTAGGATGCCCCGGCTCTCTTCTACTGGGATTCCAGCTTGGCAAATTGCTACAGAGAGAAAGAGATCGACAGTTTCGTGGGCGTGTGGTCAGGTGATGTACTCCGCGCAAGCAAATCGAACGCGGCAATCGATCTAGATTGGAATCCGGTCAGGAAGGAATTGACTTTTGCGGTGCAAGCTTCAGATGCTGTATCTTCGGTTGTATTGTTACTGTGCTATTGTTTGTATCGTGCTTGGATATCTTTCACTTTTTTATACTTGTGGTTTTTAAGTCGGACAATCCATACAACAATCATTAATGATATTCTTTCTGTTTGCTCTTTTAATAATTTATTAGGAGCAGTTGGCTTTTCTATTAAACATAACGATAGCTACCTGTTACAACAATTCAGCAATCAATGTGAACAGTCGTATAGCAAACATTTTTACCGTGAATATTAAATAACAATTCGAATCAGACCAATGAAATCATGACGGGATAAAAGTATAAATGCGTGCTCATGCGCTAGAACACGATCATATCGTACATAAATTAATACCCGTCGAGTGTTGTCAATGCCTAAATTGCTATATCTCCGACGTTGATTGACTCGCGTCGCAATCAGGCCTCACCTCCTTCAACAACTCTCACTCTCGTACAAAAGACTTGATACGCGACTACTTCGAGTCATGATGATAATTGGAGAGCTCTCGTAATATCATTTTGAAGTACATACGCACCATATAAAGCCTTGACTTACGAAATTGACGAACGCTCGTATGCTGACAATATAAGTCTCGCTTGGCCTTGGGACACACACTCGCCAAAAAGCCGGCGTTCCGTGTCGCGCATCAAGGACGCGTTCACCGGTCTTTTGTTCTTTTCATTGTGTTCGTGGGATAACTGCAACGGAAATTGATGATTGACATTTACCACCGATTCACATTGCGTCCCTTCCTATTGAAGATATAAAAATCACTTTCTATAAAAAGAATCATGTGTACTTTATCTTGTCATTAAATTAGAAACACTGGACTTTTCATGTAATCATTTTTTTATTCGCAGCTTCTCTCTCATTCTCGCGCTCTTTCCACTTCCATTCTACCTGTAACCTTCTGCCTGCAGTTTCTGTATTACGGAATCGCACGAGTACAATGTAGCATTGTACAATGAAAATCCGCGAACCCGTTATCTTTGACGCAGGTACTTTATTGCCGATCGAACGATAGAATCTCTGGTGCGCAGCGGAATTGAACCTTTAACGTCGTCTGTGTGAACGCGATTGTTTAGGGGAGCATAAGTTGATCATATCTGCCGTATAGCCAGCCATTTCTTACCTTTTTTTCTTTTTAGTTTTACTCTTTCATTCCTTTCCTTCTCTCTCTCTCTCTCTCTCTCCCTCCGTCTCTCTCTCTCTCTCTCTCTCTCTTTCTCTCTCACTCTGTTCAATAATTCTTGCTTTCTTCCCGCATGTTGATAACACGGTTTCAATCATACCGAAGTGCGAAAGATTAATAAATACTTTTTGTAATAGAGGAATAATAACTTCAACCAACATTTTTTAACGATAAATTGTAGCTAAGTGAATCACTACTCAAATTTTTCATTGTTATACATGTTTCGACCTAAAAAATCAACACTTTCAGCTAAGTTATATGATTAATTTGAAAAAAAATTAATAAAATTACCTTATAACAAATCATAAAGATAAACTTGAAATAAATAATTAAAGATCATTAAAGAGAACATTAAATTATTTAAATCCAGTCAATCATTTGGCAAATAACAATCATGTGAAAATATTTGAATGTTCACTCGCGAACGAAAAATGTTTGCAAGTATCGTGACATGTAGGCAAGTGCGAAAATCGATCACATGTTCAGTTAGCACGCGATCCGTCAATCTAATAGACGAGTCGGCGATAGCAGCGAGCGAGTTTGAACGGCAGCCAGTAGCGGGCAGCGATTAATTATAAATAATTAGCAGGCGTAATCTCTCTTTTCTCTCGTTTTCTCTCTCTCTTTCTCTATCTCTCTTTCTCTCTTTCTCTCGTTTGCTCGCTTCTTGAGTTGGCTCACGATAACGGTATATTCACGGACTAGGCTGCATAATGGTGCACCCTGCGAGCCATTGTTCAGGGCGCTCACGCGATAGATAGCGAAAAAGAATCATCTTCCAAGATTGAGAGACTCGCCGGTATGTTATGCTCGCGTAATTAACTGTATTGGTAGAAAAAAGAACAGACGGCTCATTCATGTTTTTTCTCCTCCTTCTTTTTCTTTGCCACATCAATTTCTTGCCTTCAATTATAAGCGCAAGTTCTAATTGCCACCAGCAAAACAAATTTTGTCCTAAATCTTGACGAAATCACAAGTGTAAATATGCAATTAATAAGACGGTTGCCTTGGTATGCTCCCGTGTGCACGTGAAATTTGGCAAATTTTTCTGATCGTCTATGAGAATGTACGTGATTTGATTGATATTTCTTTCAATATGTGCAGTATAAGTATTTTTGACTGAGTTTAGTAAAAAAGAGCTATATTGAAGGTTAAAACAAAATTTATAAAACGCACAACGATTGTCATTGTTAAGTTTTTATGCTTAATTTGACAAAAAGTTTTATGAGCGTTCATCTTACCTAATTGGACGAAAAGAGCTTGACTGCTGTCCCCAATTAAACACGAAACTTGGCAGTAGTCGCGTCATTAATGAGACACAGAGTTCTGCTTAGATCGCATTTCTTCAATCTTTTCTTGTTTCTTTTCTGAGCCACTGAGAAGAGCTTTTCCGCGTTATGTATTTTTTGTTTGATTGGGAATTTTTGTTGAAAAAAGTAGTTTTAGAGGTAGCCGTTTGCAATGTTTGCATTAAAAGCGAAAAAAGTTCAAATCCAAACATCTCCCGCGCGGGAACGAATAATTCACATGAAAATGTATTCTATGCCAGGTGAAAATAAAAACTTGTTAATTTAAATACGAAAGATTAATTGGATATGTAATCGTTTTTTACAGACAATTAAGATTGGAGATGGGTCTTGTAGAGCGAGGAAAGGAAATGCAAGATTTGAATACGCCAAGACCTGGGAAATCAAGAGATCTTTTTGGCGTACAGCTTGAGGTAAGATTTAAATTAGCTCATCAATTTTTCACTCGAAACCCGATTTAACTAAGCAATCAAGGCATAAAAAATACATGTTTATAATTAGGCGAATAAGCGTTAAAATTATAACTATCGTAAAACAGTGAAGTTGATAAACGACATTATCGAAAATATTATTCTTATGAAGAGGGTGTTGTAAAAAATTCGCTGCAAGTATGTAGCCAATCGAGCGTGCATCCTCTGTCTTCGGCTGCGGTCTGTTCATTCGATTTCTACCGTAAAACACTTGGCCTAGTCAATCGTAAGCTCTGTAATTCTAGAAGAAAATGGCATCGAGCGTATCGAGTGTGTTTGGATATCACTTTCTCCTCGAATTAAGTTATAACATTTTGCATGAAACTACGAAAAATATTTTCATTTAGCAATTGGCAAAGCAACATTACGAACAGCTAATTGCGGCTTATGTCAAGAGAGCGAGGTTGTCAACAGGGAATTGAGTTATATTGATTAATATCTAAAACTGTAAATACAGTGCAAAGATGCAGTGATTCGTTTTGATTACGAAGAAAGTTAACATACATTAAAACTACTCATTAGAGTAGCCTATTTTCATTTTCATACCGTGGAAGAAAAATAATAGTGCAGGAAACATCGAGAAAGTATACTCGAGCCCATCCGCTCCAGTCATTTCATCATCACTTCCGCTCTTCTATTATCCTTCCTCTTTCTCTCTTTCAGTCGCTTCATTTTTTGTTTTGTTCTTTTTTTCTGGAACTCACTTTACGAAACGCTTCTCGTATTATATACCATAAAACCGGACTCCGCAAGATATTCCGAGAGAGAAACGGAGTAAGAAAGAGAGAGATGAAAGAAGAGTACTATATAAGTAACGCGACAACTGTGGCGCCCTAAGGACATCAACCGCGCGCAGGCAAGAAAAAGAAAAGGCGACCCAGAAACTGGCGTGGCGCCGGTACTCTAACTCATTCATTAATTAAAATGCTTCGCAGCTATTGAAATTAATACACTGTAACATCTCCAAGTTATTCTTCATAAATAATGAATATCCTGTATTTTGTTATGACTAGTGATGTCTAGCGCGCTCATCTTTTTTGTCTTTTTTGCATTCATTTTAATGCACGAATATAGATCAACACATTTATTGGTGAAATTGAAAAAGTATTAAATATTTTAATGATTTGATATTAGATATAGTCGATCATATTATTTATTGGTAAATAAATATGCGGTTATATACCCATGATTTAAAAGTGTTATCAATGAAGTTTCAAATTTTTATTGTACAATATCCTGTGTTGAAAAATCATCAACAATTTTTAAAAACACTGTAAAAATTTTATTTTAATTTAATTTAAGTTCTAAAAATATTATAGTTTGCTTACTATAATCATATCCTTCACAATGTAAATAATATACTTCAGCAGACGTTTACGGTTATAAATAGTGCAAAAAAATTGTTTTGGAAAAAATTGTCTAATATTTCACGTAACTGAAGAGAGCCGAAATTACTGTACAATAATACGAGAATTACTATTGAGAATAAAAATCGCGTACGTAAAATGTACCGACCGGAATATCTGTGACTATATTTTTAATCTGTTCAAAAATTTTTACGAATATTTTGTACACTTTTACATGATTACGTAACCAAGTACAAGCAAAATAAACTAATGAAATTATTCAGCATAAATTTGCTGGTGGAAAATCAAATTTGACACATTTAAGTTTGTTCGCAATTAAGCTTCTCGTTTTTCTCACTAATCAACAAAGAAAACAAGAGCGGCAAGTACACATACGTAATACGCGTTACGTGCACTTGTCGCCAGTAAGTGTGCTCCCTTTTCTTCATACCACCAAACATAAGAACGCGGCTATTAAACGCTCCATTAGACATTTTTTGCCGAGAGGAAGAGAAAGCGTAAAATACAAATTGTCTTCTGAACACGAGCCGACACATGCGCCGTCTCTTAACCACGGATAACTAATCCGCTGCACTGATTAGCCTTTTCGTGTAGCTTCTTTTACTTTTCTTGTATCGCCGTTGAGGCGCATTTTATACAAGGTGTTTTACATTACACCTGACTGCAGCTTGTTAGACGTGTAGTTCACTTTCGCATTGAAAAGACACCGTCGAGTGGTTCTGTCGCTAGGTCTCTTATTCTAGATTGTTTTCCTATTGTGTAATCGGCACACGCGAGTATCTCCGCACTTGTTAAGTATGCATAGAGAAATTTATGCTTGGACTGTCAAGTGAATAGCATCTTCTTTCATATTTTTATGAATTTACACTTTCAAAACGTAATAATATTGTTATATCAACAATATATTGCTTTAAATGCTTAAATTTTTTATAATGCAACGTGGTTAAATTACATCACGCTTTTTAGTAGATTTTTACACAATAACTTGTTCTCTTGTCAAACTGAAAATGATTGTAAATGAGGCTCACTCGTTCAAAGTATATTCAAACAAGAACAGGCACGGGAATAAGCTTAACGAAAGTAATGCTGTAGAAAGAATGGGTCCTTTTGATATATATCTCGTCATCGGAGTTATCCTCGTTTACACTCACTTATCCCGAACGAAAAAGTATCGCCGCTACTACCAGTATTATGTCGATTTAATGGCTTTAGAATGTTTCGTCGAAGGTTTTTGCGAGGAATTTCCAGGCTTTCTTCTCTCATGGGATTGATTCTTGTTTCAAAGATTTCAACGAATACACGCTCTTCAATACGATTTCATGACGAGAAAGCGCAGAGCGATTACCATTCGATTAGACCTTTCGAAGCTTTTCAACGCTGTGAGATAATGACGGTTGGATTTCAAAGCTAAATTTATCGTTCAATTATGTTTTATTTGAAGGCTAATAAAGAAAATGTCATCATGAAAGTGTTTTTCACTCTCATTATGCAATTACTTCCTCGAAGGATAATTAATTTTACATCTTACTTCGACTAGAAGTTGGCATAACAATGAACTTTTTCCAAATTGCACAATGGAAAAATTAATTGCAATACTTACTTAGGCAAGCAAACTCATGATTGATAAGAGCAATAATTTGTACTTGTCATAAACGCATTCATTGTAAATAGAATAAATGAATACAATAGGGCAATTCAGCTATACGTATGTTAAAAAATACAGACTTTAACGAATATAGAATGAACAGCTATCGGTCCAGCTTTATGAATTATGTTATACAAAATACACGTAATGAGCAACAACTTAAAAATAAAAGTATTTTATCTGCTGTCAACTATTTACTCAGATGACAAGTTATAATTATGAAGGACGGTAATAGCGGCAGGTAGAACAGACAAAAACATCTTTGAAAAAAAAGAAACGAAAGAAAGCCCATGATTAATTCACCCTATGCAATCTGTTACCGAGCATGACACGAAAAAAAGGGGCCGTGGCCGCGAAGTGCTGTCACGCGTTATTGATACAACTTGCGTCTAGGATACGCCCAAATAGCGTACCTTGCACGCAAGCGTCCGAATTGTACTTTAACCATCGATACTGATGAATACCCGCGTGGAAAATCTCCTGCGTGGTTTTTTTTCCAAGTTTCATGCGATGACGTGTTTGATTGTAAGTAACATTGTGAGTCAACGTCTAACTGAAAATTTGAAAAGGGTGACATCAATTTGAAAGCTTTTTCGTGCACTATATCTATTTTGGTATAAAAATGTTCAACGTTTTTCATTAAAATATCCTAAATAACAATTATACTTATACTTTCAACAAAAAAAGTTCCATTTGATTAATAATAGTTCAATTTTTATATTTCCTCAGAGATTATTATCGGAACCTTTTACTTAATTGTTCAACATCATTAGAGCAATTTATATTTTTAATCGAAATGAATAAATGAAAAACCATGTCGGTACTATATTTATAATTTTACTGAGTGCTTTTAGCTTAAGCCAAACCAATCATCAATTTGTTTGGAAAGGAAAGAAAAAAAACTCCGTATAGCTAGAAAAATAATCAAACTCAAACAATGGACTTTCTCATAAGCTCATCAATGTAATAACGTAAAAAGTCGTGGCAGCAGCGGTAGCAGCAACGTGCAGAGTATGCACATACAAACGACTGGGTGCAGGCGGTTGGTGTGGCGCACATGACTCGCGCAATTTGATCGCGCCTCTAGATAGGTCGGCCAGCAAATGACAAGCCACCCTAGCGCTGTTGCTACACCCCCCCCCCTATGCGCGGAAATTATGCCGCGTATTTACATTAGCTGACGCTCCATGTGTGTTTGGCCTGTGTGCGCTTGTCGGCTTGGGCAAACGATGCTTCTTCGTTTTTTTTTGTTTTTTTTTTTCGTTAGCAGACGTTCTTTTTACATATTAATCGTGGGACAAGCCATCGCCGGTTATTTTTCTGCCTGGGAGAGACATGTTTCGTGATAACAAATTCGATTAGTTTAAACACGAAGGAGTGGAAAGCTTCCTCTTTTGCTCTTCTTCTTTCATTGATTTTTTCGGATCTCTTAATAGATCGATGCTACATTAAGATATCTCTATCGATTGCACCATATGGGCTCGGATAATTCCGTTAATTTTTTTAAAGATACAAGTAAAAATAAGATAAATAGGTTCCTTGAAAAATGTCGATCTGCCGAGTAATTGGCTCTTGCGCGGGTGTGTGAGGACCGTAAAGAAGCGCGTAATCAAGCTCCGCTCATAATACTTTTATAGGCTTTCCTTTTCGCATTCCTGGCGTAAAGAGTTGAAGCGAAAACACGATGAAAGCCATAGTCCTCGCGAAGCTTTTACAGAACGAACTATTCGTTTCGAATTTCGTTGTTTCCTATTCTTCCTTTCGTTCGCCGTGCCATCGGAGAAAGCGTATTTCGGCCAACGGCTATTGTTTTTACGCTCGATCGGATTCGATTTTAGAGTGGCCATTACGGAGATGTGATTGGAAAGATTTACGATGATTGTTTGGCTTTATGCTTCGATGCATTGTTTTCAATTGCTGAATTAAGAGCCATGATAATTTTTTCTACGGTGAATTGATATGAAATCATCGGCGTAATATCAACATCTCTAATGGAATTTGTAATGCGATATATTCATTAGAAAAATATGTAAAAAACGATTGATACAATACGGAAAATAATTTTGCCGTAATTTTATTTTAATATCTTCATCCTTCATAAGTTCAAGTAACGCGATATGCTCTACGCGTACGTCTATTACCCAGTAGAGGCATCCAAAAGCAACCAAATTAACGGCTGCAGAACTTTCATCGGATGTAGATGAACGAGTAGCATTTTACTCAGTTGTAGCGTGAAATGTAGCTGAAAGCGTTCAATTACTTAGCATTAAGAGGCGATCGATTAGATCAGATTTTCTTTCTTTTCTCTAGATTGCGAATGCCCGTAACCACTTTCTTAGAAACTCACTAGAAATGTTTATTCAATTCCCCGTTAGAAATAAAATTGTTAATTTCATATTAATAAGATAAAAATCAAGCGTTGAAAATTATTATTCGATTTTTGGTCCTGTAGATATTTAAAGTGATTCCACATTTTTCAAATCGAGCATTTTTTTCAATAAAAATATCCACGGACAGTCTATACTGCAAGACGTATGTAATTTGAGAATAGGCATCAAGCAATACTTTCCGGCAGTACGCGTGTTGGCTTTACTTACTATAAGTCGCTATCAATTATTTATTTATTGCAACTACTACTTTATAAGTCTATCAATTCATTTGAAAACTATGCCTTTAACGATTCACATGTAATGTATTTTTTCATAAAATGTTGAATTTTTTTCCATTCTGAATGTAACGATGGCCATATTAAATGTTGTTATTTTTTTAAGCATCAACAAATTTCATGAAGGCAGACTCAATTTACACTAGGATTTACAGCGAATGTAGTCGTAAACAGCGAAAACAGGCCAATGTATATAGTACTTCCTTTTTCGTAAGAGTGCAGCGGCCAGGCGTGGATGCAGCACCATCTAAGCTCATACATAAGATCCACTAATAAATCCCGAAACTCGGGGTGTAATGCAGCGTAATTGGCTCTCCTACTCTTTTTTCGCTTATACCTATATAGTATATATACACATATATGTATACTAAATCTGCAGGTTGAGAGCGAGCAGCGTAACGGATCGCAAAGATATAGATATGCACAATAAACACGCGCTCTCTCTCTCACTCACTTTTGCGCTGTGCAATAATCAGTCATAAAATATCGCGAAAATATATAGAGATCCGCTAGAAGAACTCTTCGTGGCTAATTAGAGGCTCTCGCAATAGAAAGTCGTGTATAGCCCTTTTGCTTGGACGTGATTATTGTACATCGATGCGCATTGTTGAATTGAGATGGACAGGAGAAGCTTTGATTACACCTGTATTATACTCTAGGTGTATACCGTGCCACTTTCGATCAACACGTCGACTTCGTGTTTAATTTCCTGTCTACGATGACTCACGAGTTTGCAGTTTGAATTTATTATTGAAACTTGCGCATTACTTTCCGCGGTTGAACAATGAAATACATTTTGTTTACACGGTGACTGTTGAATTTAAGTGCCGGTTGCCAGTTTCAATGGTTCTTTGTACAATATTGTTTCAAAATGATTATCGTCCGTAGGCCTCAACTTTACAAACTTTATTATTAATATACCATTTCAACGTCATTAAAACGTTATTTCTATTAATTATTTTTAGTGCTTGGGTATTGTTATTATTCCGAAAGACAATCTCAGTTGTGAATTTCTTCTGCTGAAATTAATGTAAAGTTAAAACAATCAATATTGTGAATGTAAAAAAAATTATTTATTAATAATTTACGGGATGTTCACTGCAGCTAGCTTGGTAATTAATCCTGTTGAAAGTTTTCCATATATTCGACTCTAGCTAAAGCAGTAAGCGCTCGTCACGCTTTCACTATAAACTGTATAAAGCAGCTCATACTACCTTATCGGCGGCGCAACATTTGGCGCGAAGAAAGTTTTTATTTGAAACCATTGCTTTTATCTTAATTTTTCATTCATGAAAGATTTCTGGATAAATAACATTTGACAATATGAAAAACCGTTACATACATTACTTCTCTGCAATTTATGTGATAAAGCTATATATATTAAATATATTGGACATTTATACTTCAAGGATTCTACTGGTTATTATTTTATATTATGGAGAATCATATATTCATTCAATTTAACACGATTTAATGGAAAATACAAAATGATCGCGCTAAAATAATTATTTGACATGATATTTTTTCAACTTGCATAGCTTGTTTTATTTTAAAATTATAAAGCATTTATCTTTCACAATTATTTTTTGTTAAAAAAATGTTTTTATATAAACGAGTAATGTGACAATGAACATATTAATGTCTACTATAAAACACTAAAACTGTACCATACTTTTGGAATACGACATGTATTATGAGATTGTATATATATTTATTATAACTAATATAGTGGTAAGAATTTTACACAGGTTCTTTTGATATATTTTTTATAATGCAACGTGTATTTCTTAATACTATACGCATCCATTTGGTTGTATGTACTCATGAACGCTAAATGTAGTTCACAGAATATTAAATAATACAATTCAATATACATATACACAGCGGTATTGGAGTACATTATTTTATAAGGATAGTGCATTTTTCGAAAAACATGTATGATATGATTTAAAAATGAAAGCCCTATATATGGCTCATCACGAAAAAATTCAGGCTTTTCTACGATTGTAAAAGCATTCAAAATTCTTTCTAGTTATAATATTCTATTATATTCATTGATTCGAAGCTTACGAATTTTACATATTTGTGTTTAAAGGTTTGAAATCTCGAGATAATTATTCAAGACATGCGTTGCAATTGAAAATAATAGGATATCCAAGTGTTCGCAAATACATATACATTTAAAGGAGCATCCATCGGTCGGTAAGCTAACACACCTGTGTGATTCTGTCGGCAGGTAACCTCTCTACTATTGGAAGCGGAACGACGCAAGCTGGCGGTACTGCAGCGCGAGCTACAAGCTGCCCTGGCCGAGGGTGGTAGCGTCAAAGTCAAGGAAAAGCAGCGTCAGGAGTTGCTGCATGCCATATCGTGAGTCGATCGTTTGAAAGGCTTCCCACGCAGTATGAGCTCCTCTCATGCTACGCGAGATACAAACTTTGCCAACATCGATCCTCCTTATCATCCACCACCTCCGCCGCCGCCGCCACCGCCTCTTCCGCGTTAATGGGCAAAGTTTGCGTTTTTCATTTTTAGCGCGTGCCACGTCGCAATTTTCAACAGCAGATTGAATCTTGTAACGAAGCTTTTTATCGGTCGATCATTTTTCGATCGACAAAATTGCGAATTACTTGCTAACCGCCTTTTCGTGAAATGTATTGAATAAATGCTAGGGTGGCTTGTAATAAATAGGCTGATTTCAATTTTTAACTCGCTTAAACGTGAAAAGTAGTCGGTGCGTTTCATTAGTTTTTATTGACAAAGATAGTCAAACAAAAGCTTCGAATATCCTCTTCTTTGATACCGAGCTTTCTTTTTAATTGACTTACGAATACGCAACTGTGTTTGTTTCCGTAGGAAAATACAAGCCCAGCATCAACAACTGGACAAAGAATACCGAATTCACGCGGCTGGAGTTCTGCTCTGCAATTCCCGGGCTTCCGGAAAGGTAAGCTTTCGCCGAAATGATTGATACTTTCTGTGTGACAAGGACAACCTAGACCCTTTTATTTTCATCAAATCCTTTTCATACTGATAATTAGTTTTTTTTTTCGTCAAATGTGTACCAGACAAAATGACTATGTAACGGTTCATTTTCGGTGCTCAGAATAAATGATGATTAATATATCTACTTATTTTCTGCATCATTTTTCAATTGTCTTCATATTGCATTAAATCATTTAAGTTACTGTGAAAACAATTGCGTTAATGGGCGATACAAAAATTTGCCTTATTATATCTAAATACTTAAATATTAGTATCTATAAGTAAAAAAACATGATAAGAATATCGATTATATGTGTTTAGATTCGACAAATATTCAAAAATATTTTTAAGTTCATAATTTACTTTTGCATTATTTTATATCCTATGAAGAATATTTTTAATGAAGTGTCTATAGTTTGTAGCACGGCAATCACTTTCGTCACGACGGCTACAATTTGAATTAATTATAGGATGCCAATAATTTCATTGGTTTTAGCATAAATCGATAGTGCGCCACTATCAACCTACAACGATAGCATATTACATATTTTATAATTCAAGCTTTTACATACCTTTTCAATACTATTAAGTAAATGTACCCTCGACGTGGGTGCGATATCGTGGAATCTTTTAAAAAATTGGTATGGCATCGAGTTTCAGACAGGTTCAAAAATGGTGCAAAAATTTGACATTACTTTTGTCGGCGAAGAAGGGATTTTGTTAAAATTCTGAATAAGTAATCGAAATAATTAATAATAGTCGTGAGTATTTGGAATCTTTTGAAATATGTTCCAAATTTGAATCTCTTTTCCGAGAACATTTTGAATATGTTATACTTTTATTATTATAATTGTGATACATACATTTATTTGCCAGATTTAAATCTCCAGTGTCGTAAAAGTTTTTGCTGAAGAGATTCGTTTCATATCACCATTCTAAAAACAAATGCATACATTAAGGAGAATTAAGTGTACACATTTGCTGAAATACTACTCAGTCTAGTACTCCTCAGTCTGGAAAATAGTGACATGAAATATAACCAATACGTCGATAAAGCAAATTTTCCAAATAAATTCGGCTTAGAAGGATCCTAAGTAGAAAGATTATTCCGATTATCTGAGACAATCTATTTGAGTTTAAATTTGATTGTGTAAACCGTTTGGCAGAAAGCATGATCATAGAAAAAACTAATCATTTATCTATCATGAAATATGAGCAAAGCACGAAGCCAAACGAACGCACGTATCAGTCGCGCAAAGTAGCAATCAACACATGACGCGCGTCGTGACTGTGCAGAGTATCGTCGAGCCGTCAATTTGCCGCATAGTAGCACATGGGCACAAGCGCACGGAAGCCGGTCTCTGGATGCATACGGCAACAAAATAATAGCCGGCAATTGGCGACGATGTGCCTGTGGAAAATTAAGCTTAGGCGCTTTTGCGAGCTAGACTCTGCAAGGGAATCTCGGCGCTTATGAGCAATGGAAAAGGAATTAGCGTTTAAGTAGTTGGGGCGCAGAATTTGTAGCCTGACTAGCGAGCGAGAAGACTACTCGCATAGAGTAGGTGCAAACTGAAGCTTAAAGAGCTCGCGCGCGGGAGACAGGGAAATTTCAAGCTGCGCGCTATAGTCTGGCTAAAGCTTTTCATTTGGAGGTCGGAAGCATAGCCCGGCGAGAACTCGATTTGCCGGGGATCTGGCTCTCGATGACGTTCGAGTAATTATCGGGAGCTTGCACGCCAAATAGAAAAATCCGCAGCTTCTTCACCAATGAGAAAATATTTATTTTCTGGCTAGGCGCTGAGCTTCTTGATACCTCGGCTAAAGTGGTAGAGAGAGGGAGAGAAGTATTATTGGAGAAGTATCAGAAATCCGTAGTTCTGTTGACGAGCGATCAAACTTGCCTCTCAGGTTTATCGTTCTCCGATATACGCAAGGCAATAATTGCATCACATCAAGCGCGAGAGCGCAAGGATACGTAGTGTGGCGAGAGAAAATGACAAACGGACAAAAAAGACGGAAAAAGGAAACGGGGCAACGAGTTCCGTGATAGCCAAACCATTTGGATCCATTAACTTTAGTCTCGCGGCGAGAGTCGTAAAGTTTCACCTCTCAATATTAGCCGCTGTCTTTTGTTTCCAACTAAACTCGTCGCGCACTCGCGAACACACCTCTCACTCTTAACTTCTTATCGAATAAAGCACTTTGCTAACCACTTAGCTAGGTCGCCACAGTTATTCGTTATTGTTGAAACGCCATCATGCAAAAAAGGTCTTCACTGGGATATTGCGACAACATCACGACGCCGTCGTCGTAAGAGTTCCTCGTGCGCGCTACTCTCCACGGGCAGCTTTTCAGATATCTCGCGTTCAAGTGCCCGCTTGAGACTCCGCATTTTATACTCACTGTGCCAGCAAGCGAGCTTTGAATTTGAATATCTTCTACGTTCCGCGGCAAATCATTCAATTCCATTTTTTTTTGCTTTTTACTCACCTTATGCCGTTCTTCAATTTTTATTTTGACTAACGTGAAATTATCGCAGTACATTTTCGTGAATAGCTTGCGAAAGACAATCGTTTACCAAATTATCGAAACTATAATACATTGTTAGCGATATCGGAATGCGTAATATTTCAGTAGAACATCACACTTTTGGGTTCTTCAACGAAATGTTCAAGCAACTAGAAAACAAGCAAATTTCTTTCTGACCACTTGTATATCTCTTATATTCGCAGGGAGGAAGTTGAAAAGGGTAAAAAGTACTCCGATCTTGCATCAAGCAACATACCTCTCAAAAGGTAAGCTCTGATGGGATATTCGATAAGGAAATGTATACACGGAAATGAAATATGTTGTGGGCCGTGAGGGAGGCTGTAGTCGGAGGAAAAAGCAGAAGGTCTTCATCCCTTCTATAAGAACGTGGAACGCTAAGAGTTTCGAAATAAATTGACTGTCAACGATATATCCAACGAAATATTGTCAGCAGTTTGCAAAGACGAAAACCTACTCCTTCGCGGCTGTTTGTCAATCGTTCAATATATCTCGCTCTCGGTGTGCCACGTATACAATACATACAGGCTCTGCAAAATTTGCCTCTGGCGCGTAATCACCGTTTAGCGCATTCGCAGCGTCCGCCAGTTTTTTCACGTCTCGCGGGAGCTTGCGAACGCGTCGCGCGCTCACGATCCGTGATTGCGTATCGCCGTGCACAAAGCACGCCATGCGCTTGGCTAACCGAAATTATTTTCGATCCCCGGTGAAACGGCAATTTTGTTTATCTCGCTCGATGTTTTTCACGCTGTCAAAAAAGAAAACAAAATGGAATGAAAAAAATAAATAAATAAAAGTTTGTTGTTTCTTCCCGCTCTTCTTTTCATTTAAACGAAAAGCTATACTGCGAAGCTTTTACCTACTTTGCGACGAGAGCTGGTTTTTTAAGTGCCTCTTCTTTTTTTACGAGCTAAATGGATGGATTTTCGACTTTGTGGTAGGATACGCATGCATGCCAAAACGAGGTAAAATTGACGAGCAAGTTTCATGAAAGAGAATTAATACTGGAGGATTTCGAGTTTTCGAGCACGTGCTTGTAATTTGTAGAATTGTATAATGACGTTACTTGAATGTGATGTTTATCGAGTTCATTCAATATAATGTGCACTAATTTATGCAATTTGTAATTTGTTGACGTTATCAGAGGTAGTATTAACATGTTGCGTCACGAGACAAAAGTCGAATCGATTGTTGTGTAAAATAAGTGTAACATATCTAGTTTCAGACCATCCGGGCGAGAACTATTGTTTACTACCGGAATTACACTGCAGGTTTCTTAAAGTTTCCAAAACTTATTTACGTGAAATTGCAATAGGCAGTCGAGACGGCGGATGTACTCGCGAAATTGGATTGATCATGCATTATGAAAGAAAAGTTGGTGCATGGTGTACCAGGGCAGGGAGCATAGTCGATAAACTTTTGAAAATTCCGACCGGTAAAGAGCAGACTTTATTGCTTTTGGTTGCGAACCTGAATTTCCACGGCCAGTACATTAGCTACTTTAAATTTATGAACTGTCTATCTCGTGCGAAAGAAATAATAAAATCAAATTTCATTTGACTTCGCGTTAATCTCTTGATGAAGAACTTTTTAACTAACTCACTTACCGCGCATCGTAAATATTTTCCCTTCATTATATTCTGTTGTAAACCGAAATACCATTTGGAATTGAAGAGTTCTAAGCAAGTCCGACTTCAGTTTCCGTTTGTAAAGGTAAAAAGGATGTTTGAACCATATTTTTATCAAAGCTCACTCGCTTTCTCTCCACCACATCAAAAGGAGGCAAAGATGAAAAAGAAAATGTAACGCATTGAAACACACGGTCTCCATATATTTTTCAGCGTGCTCCACATTTCTTATTTTGCATGTATAACATTCTCCATATAAAATGTTTTCTTCGACGAAAGAAACGACTTGAAGAGAATTTTCTAACAGTCATTTGCTTTATTTTACAGAATGGGAGGATATAAAAAAAAGTTTGTTAGTGTCTTAATCCTCACGATTAACGGGAGAGACGTTATTCCTTCTTCGGGATGATGAAATTATTTGACGTGCGAAGAGAGGCGAAGGCTCGTAAGCCCCGTACAGACACATGGGGAGCAACTTAAATACTTTGTAAATGTTTAAGCTTGTTTTAGTTTGCAAGTTTTCTCTATTTCCTTTAAAACTCAGTGGAGCTGAGGCTAAAGCGAGCAGTGCTTCTTTTCGAAGCGCGGCGAAACTACCAAAGAAACTTTCTAATACTCAAACAAAAGGCGCTCGATCTTCTCCTTACGATAGTCAGTTAATATCCATCTTCATTGCTTAATAAATGAACTTATTCACTATACGATTTGATTTTTTTCTATGATTCGCCAATGTTCGGTAATTAGTTGCACATTTCCAACTATATTTACAATCTGATAATGGTAAGTAAAATATTGCGATTTTAAATCTATAGTACGTGAAGGTAATTCTCCA